TTTGGAAAAATTCATTGCGGAAAATATTTAATCAAAAATATTTTTATATTTAGAAAGTTGAAATTATTATAATTTGTTAATTAACTTTTATGATTTTAATTTTCCTTCTGTTACCTGCAAAATGCTAAAAATAATTGTTTTAAAGTAATGTATTTTAATAGGATCATATAAAATTATATTTGCTTTAAGTTAAGACAATAGCCATATAATAATGCGTAAGCTATTTAAAATGGATTGTCAAATTCATAAAACATTTCATTTTTGATATTTTCCTTTCATTTTTTAGAATTCGAAAATTTCGAAATTTTTAATTTCATATTTATGCAACTCACGAAAATTAATTTCATATTCATGCAAGTCATTTAATAAAATTTTAACTTTTCAAGAAATTATCATTATCATTAATTAAGCAGTTTCCAATTGTTTTATCGATTATGAAATTTCAGTTATTTCTTCAGATTAATTTAACTTTTTTATAATAAAATATCAATTCTAACATTTTCATCATTTCAGCTTGAGTAAAATAATAAAGATAAAATATTTGTAAGCTGTCAAGAAGATATTAGAAGAAAGAATTTATAATGGTAGGAAACGTTGCTTAGGCGTATTTCCATTTCAGGATAACTGTTACAAAGCAATCAAATGTTAAAATTTCCTATAATATCGTTATTATAACTATTCGTTATTTTCTATTGATAGAAAAAGAAAACAAAACATCTAATAGATTATTAATTAATATTACTGGAATGATTGATATTGAAATGTATAAAGTAGCTAACAATTTATTTTATTTTATCTCAATAATTGCTTAATTTAATCATAATTAACTTAACTATGCTTACAGACACATCCAATTAAAATTTCGAAATTGATAGTGTTAGATTTGCAAATAGATATAAAATTTTAAATGTATTTATTCATATGCAGAAATTACTTTATTAAAACATTAACATTATTTATTAGAAACAAAAATATGAAATGTATGCATAAAATTATTCCCAATATTCGAGATATTTGAATAAACTGTTAGCAATTCTTTTGCCAAACTGCTCGTTCAAAATTTCGATTACTCTTAAATTCAGATGATCTTTTTCCAAAACGGATATAATCGTACGTTGGTGGACTGGTTCTTTGGCCACGATTAAATCGAATGAAATCGAAATTTGCTCGTTTTGCTGTAATAAATGAAGTTGCATAGTGATGCTAATTACTTTGATGTAATTCGTAAAATTGAATATTAAGGCCTTCCCTGAAACTGTCATTAAATGTTAAATATTTTAATTGCACTTTTTGCTGCTACGACATACTGTTTTGATGGAATTCAAAAAGAAATCTTTTTTCTTAGCAATAAATTTGAGCGAATTTATTGATTTATGCATAAGTTGAAAGAGAAGAATTGAATAATAACCATTCTGGAAATATTGCAGCATTTTGTTAAAACTTTTTAATTTCTTTAATTTTAAAAAATATAAAAATAAATTTTGTTAAAATTTATAATTGCTAATATTTTCATGTTTTAGTGTAAAGAAAAACTTCGAAATACATTAATGTATTTCGTTCAAAATTATCTAAATTTTAATTTCTTTATCGATAATATTGCATTAGCAATGTTAATTAATTTCGTTGATATTACTTACCTTTAATTAATTCTTATAATTATGGAAATATTTTAATGCATTAAAAAAAAAAAAACTAATCTGAATTTTATTTTCTCAAAAGAAAAAATATTTCAAAATTTGGAAATTTTTAAAATTAAATTTTTCTCATTTCTATTTGTTTGCAAATAAATTTCTTCGTTTATTTGTTAATTAAAAATTATAAAAATTCTCTAAAGAATGAATAATTATAATGTATTACTTTTCTAACTTATTAATCGATTACAGTAACCTAAAAAATAAAATAGAAAATAAACCTGAATATGGTTTAGATCGATATTGTGAAAGTGCTGGATAATGATGATAAATCTGTTCATAAGTTATTGCATTAGCAAACGAACAGTGTGACATAACACAAAACATAATTGTAAGTATTACTATTAGCATACTTACCCGATGATCATTCATAGATGAATTTTAATCTAAAATCAATAAAATTTGAATAATTTCTTCTTTTGTTTTTTTTTTTTTGTTTTACGAATATCATTTAAAATTTTGCAAATCTATTCGCTAACATTGATATAAAAGATTGTTTAAAAATGATAAGATAGAATAAGATATATTTCACTAATAATAATCAAAATAAAACAAAGAAATGAAAGTTTCAAACTTTTGTCTTTAAATCATTAACTGCATGAGAATAATGAAAATTTGTATTCCGACGGCGATCAGACTATAATAGATGACGAATTTTTCAATATAATTTTAAACACTTATATTATACCTGTGGGAAAAAAGGGATTGAATATATTATCTATAGTAATATATTAAGGCATTTCTTTTAATTTTTTACCTTTCAAAATTTCAATTAACATTACATCTCTTTTTTTCATTTTACTACAAAATGTGAAGAATAAGAAGAAAGAAGTAAAATAGGCCTTAAAATAGGCCTGGAAAGAAGAAAGCATTTAGAAGAGAAAGAAAGATAGAAAGTGTTACAAACAAATTGAATATTTCAAGTAAGCCTTACCTTTAAAGAACTAAAAGATATTTTAAAATAAAACTTATCCAATTAAAATGGTTTATTTTATTTTGAATTTATCACCTGCTTTCACTTTCTGCTTTTTTCCTTCATATCATACCTACTAATTTACATAACTGCTTTTAGAAAGGAAAAAAAGAGGGTAAATTCATGTTATATAATTTATGCTATGTTGTTGTTGTTACCTGATGCTGTTACAATCATATTTGTTTTATTTTTAATTTTCATCCTTTCTCTTTTCTTTTCCATACAATATTTTATAGCCATTTATCATTCGCTTCCTCTTTTACTTCTCTCTTCTTTTCTCTCCAACAAACATTCATCATCATCATTAAATTCGAAATAAAAAATTACTACGGTTGATATGAATCAAAAGAAATGTAGTTTATAATTTCCGATAATAGCCGTAGCATATGCTTTAAACGTACAAACAATGTATTGAAAAAATATGATGAAAGTTATTTATCAGTACAAAATAATATCCCATATAATAATTATTATTACGAGAAAGCAATTAGTTTCGCTTGATAATTCAAAAGAAACGAAAAAGAATTATTCAACAAGAAATGATAGAATGATATTTTAATGACAAATGTATAATTGGTATTAGCTTTATCGAAATATAAAATTGTTGTTAGAGGATAATTCTGAACATAAATCTTTCACATCAATAATATTCATCTTGTTAAAATAAATTTTTATGAATTAAAATTATGCTAATTAAATGCTTAGTTTATACTAATAATTAATATCTTTCTATTTTCTTTCTTTCTGTAAATTTCATATTTTATCATTTTTTTTTTGCTATATGAAAATAAAAATTAATTTCAATAGTGACAAAAAAAGCATTTCATTTGCATAATTTTTAAAGAAATTGTGAAGAAAGACTTAGATTTTGGATTAAATTAATTTCATGCTAAATTTGGAATGTAAGCTTATTGCATGGTAATTTAGAGTTAGTTAGATTTAATCAATTAATTAATAATTCTATCCATTGATAATTCAATTGTCATATTGCAAGTTATTCTCGAAGATGTAAAAATTTACAAAATTTTATTCTTGAAAATTAAATCACATTAAGAGAATTACATCCTTGATAATATCGTTCAATTTCTTCAAAGATATCAGAAATATTGAAATATATGATAATGATATTTCATAACAATGCGTTATCATTATCATATATATTTTGCATTGAAACCAATGCAGGGAAATTTAATTTTAAATAATTTTAAATATTATAATCACTTAATTTTAAATATTATAATCATTTGTTATCATTATTTTATTATAATCATTTGTTATCATTATTTTCAACTTAATCATTCAATTTTACTTTTCAAAATTTGCGATAGAAATAGTGAAATGATCTCAATTAAAATATAAATATGAAATAATAAAGTTTTATTTGTTTTTTTTTCATTTTGATTAAATTAAAATTAATATTGCGATAAAGTTTTATTCATTCCATTAATTTTATTGTTTTACATTTCGTTGAACATATATATTTTTATAGTTCAAAAGAAAATGAATACTTTATTGAAAAAAAAAGAATTAAATTAGATTTATATGCAAAATTAATTAATTAAAAAAATTTTATTAATGTAAAATCAAATTAATGAGATGTCAGCAAATTTTTGCTAAAGAGTTGAATTGAATAAAAATTGCTGATAATTTAACATTCGCCTAATTGGGTATCATATCATATTTATTGAGATAACATAGGTATGTGCATTTGTAAAAAATATTGAAAAAGAAAAACTGGGGAATGTGTGGAAGCGGAAAATCATTGTGATAAAAAAACAATTTTATTGTTAACTTAACTATCAGCTGTTACTATATCAGATTCATCTATTGAGGTACCATCTGCGGATGATTGCACTTCATCGTTCAGTAGTGCATCTGCAAACAATAAACAATGCATCAATACCAAAAACAATTAGTAGCATTTAATTAAATTAAAATTTGTAATTAAAATAGCCTTAATATATTGGCCTACTTCTACCTAATATATTGAGTAATATAAAGCAAAAAAAAAAATTGCTTAAAATTTTCGGGAACATTTATATGCAAAATGAAATTTAATTTTGAAATTCAGCAAAATTGGCAATTACAAACATTTACAAACCAATGCTGATAACATATCAATGATAAACTGCAAAGCTGATATTTTTATCATTCAAATTATCTCTCAATTTGTTGAAATTACACCGAGAATTACTGTGTCATATGGGAACTATCAGGAATCTTTCGTCTGAATTACTTGCAAACAAATAGTGCTAAATCATAAGAGAATTACAAGAAATTCTTGTCTAAATTTACGAATTTCTATGAGTATGTTAGAGAAAGAAATTGGAAAGGAATGAAACGAAAACTAACTAAAACGTCTAACACAAGCAAATCCATTGAATTGAGCACCTGGCAAACACCTGCATACACCTAATTCACAAATTGACAAGCCTTCCATGGAGCTCATACATTGCTGCGTAAATTCACATGAGCTACCTATTGGCCTTAGTGCTGCAATTACATTTTCACTTTTGAATTCCTTTGAAGAATGAACTTGAAGAAAAAAGCCTAAAAAGAAATGGGATCAATTCATTCCTATCATTCTTGTCAAAAAAGATTGTTATTGTAAAATTATATTTAAATTGAAAAGAATGCAATGGAAGCAAATGAAGTTGTATAATAAAACAATTTGTTAATTTATTTTTTGAGAAATGATAATAATTTGATCTAAAATATCAATAGAGATTATTATTATTATTATTATTATTATTATTATTATTATTAATTATTATTATTATTATTATTAGGAGATGAAATGAGAAAGTTTAATATCAATAGGAAAATATTGCACTAATCCTTCCTTCTTCAAGTCCTCTTTTGATTCTACAAATAATGTTTCCTTCGAATGACAAATGTTGAACATGAATCAAATAGGATTCAATTTTTGAATTTTAAAATATATGAATTTGAAGTGATTATAGAGTAAACTAAATGATTTTTACTTGTTGGAGAAAATGGAAGCATCATATTGGTGTATTGCGGAAGACAGCAAACATTGTTGTAGCACTGATAACCGTATCCACATTGACCATTTATACAGGCACTTATAGGTCCGGTATGATCCGGACATGATCTAATTCCTGAAAATATACTTTGTGATAAAATTTTGAATAAAATTTCATTTTTATCTAAGTTCCAGAATGCTGTTTGGATTGTTTCTAAAATTAACTGTTTGGATTGTTTCTAAAATTTAAAGTTATCGCCAGTTTTTAAAATTTATTTTAAGGATTTCACCAGAAGAAGTAGGCCATGAATAGTGATCAGCATGTCTTTCAGAAAGGAATGATGTTTGTATTGGATTATACAATCGTGCTTTTAAGGTACAGCAAGAACCGAAAATCAAAGTAGTTTCTGTTGGACATGTTCCATCTACCGGAGAACTAGATATCGTTCCTCGACCATCGCATTCTTTGTAACATAGAGGAGTTGCACCTTCTTTGAAACATTTATTACCAGCTGGACACTGGTCATCTGCAGTATGTAAATAAATATAGAAGCATTAAAAACAAAGACTATGAAACTCCATTAACATGGATTAAATTTCACATTTATAATCTGCAATGAGCATTGATGATCGATCATTACTGATAACTAGTTATTCTACGTAAAGTAATTGATTTGTTTGAAGAAGAGATGTGCGTTTCTTAATTGACATAAAATTGACGCTTAATTATGCAATATAATAATTTATCTAAGCTGCGAATTGTTTAATAATGGTATCATTGAAAAAAGTATTTTATGTAATCTTTTATTCAAAAGAATTGTCGTTTTCTTTAAATTATATGATACTCTAGAAAATAACCTGGCTCGACGCATGGACCGACAGGATCCGTCACTGGACAGCAAGAATTTGTTGTTGTATCGCATTGAAAACCACCATCTGGACATTGATCAGCAACACACGGTCCAAGAGCGTAATTAATATTGGAGCAACGGAAAGTTGTATTAACATTTTGTGGGCAGCATTGACCATTTACACATGTATGACCAGTTGGACATAAGCCATTGATGCAAATGCCGATCGATGCACCATTATTTGGACACATCCCTAAAGCAGTTAATTTTTGAAAATTAAGAAAATATAAAAATATATTTTTTACTTTTTTAATCTCTCGTCTAAATCAACCAAATATTAACATACGATATTTTTTCGCATGATTGCAATTTTGCAAGTAATCTTGATATATAAAATTAAAGTTTAATGTACCAGGTATGATATTAGCGATAGTGTTCGTCAAACAGCACAAATTCCCGGTGGTGCAAACAAAACCCGTACCACATTGTCCAAAAATACATGCACCAGCAGATGGAAAACCATCAAGACACCGAGGTGTATTACTTGTTATATTACAGCATAAACCTAAAATTGAGAAAATAAGATGAAATAATTAAATCTATCATAACTATCATAACTAATCTATCATAACTGATGCTTTTTTGTTTAGTCACTGATCTTTTGTTAGTCTATTAAATATCACAATTTTTAATAATGAAATTTACAGTATCATTCGTAAAGTCAGTCATTCAGCAATTAGTCAAAAAGTTAACAATGCTAATGAACCCGACATATTATTTTCTATCTTCCAACCGTTTTAAATTTCAGTATAGTTTCATATTTTTCGCTTTCATAATACCAATTAAGTATGGTTAAATTCGTATGGTTAAGTATGGTTAATTGATTTTGTTTAATTTGATTCGACAATTAATTATAAAATTATGAATGTCGAGACAAACAAATGACATGAAACAAAAACAATATGATGGATAGAAATAATTAAATTATTCTTTTTGACTTTCGAAAATACCAAATTGTAATAATATTAAAATTAAATTTAAATACTATTGCTAACATTTATTAATGATTTCATCATGTAATATTATTTAAATTTTCTTTTACACACTCTGTTTTTCCTTTGCAACAGTTCAATTGTTCAGAATAAAAAGTGATATGCAAGATGAATATAAAAATTAGATTATATCTGTTTTCAGCTAGGCTAGCTAGGCTTATTTCATCATTGGTGAAATGAAGAAACGGATCATACCGTTCATGCATGTAAATGAAGAACCACATTGGCCAAGAATACAAGCCCCTGCTGCTTGGGTTCCATCTGTGCAAACTGAAATTTATTTTTTCCAACAAAATAATTCATCACTTTATTTCCCAAATTGCTGGAAAGATGAAAAATGAAATTTTTGTCACATTTCAATGAAACAATAAAAGGATGAAATTTTCGTTATTGAAATTTCCCCCAATAATTTTCCTTTTTAATCTACCACGAAATCAAAATTAATTAAATCCGACAGAGATTGTCATTTTCCTCATTTCGTGCTAATTGTTGGAAAAATATTTGAACAGGTAGTTAGTTACAAATCGCTTAACATAAACAGTAATGAAACAATCGATATGGGAATAATTTGATAAAATGAAATACGTTTTAATTAATTTGTGTTAAAAATCGTCAAATCAAATAACCGAGTTTGTGAATGTTTGACTGAAAGTAAAATGGTACCTGTCATTCTCAATCGCTCCCTTTTATCCGACTGTTTGAGATTCGAAAACAACTGTTAAACATATATTTTCTACGTAGTATATTCTTTCATCTTTCACCTTAATATAATAAAGAAAAATAATTGAACATACGAAATGGATTTTTCATTGGATTAGCAGTGCTGCCACTTATCGCTGTTCCATAATCACTTGATGGACAGCAGATGTTACCCGGTGAACAAACATATCCGCGAGCGCAACGCATATTAATACATGTTCCAGCCGGTGATCCACCATTTGCGCATCCATCTTTAATTTTTAATTTCTCAAATTAGAATTTCTCAATTTAAACTTAAACTTTCGTTTTTGTTAATTATGCATCCAATTTGAAAGAATCTTGAAATTGTGAAGAATATGAAAGTTTAGAGTAAACAAAAAATTCGCTATAAATTTTACAACAAAAGTAATTTTTTCAGTATTAAATTAAAATATATAAAATATTATGAAAGAAGTTCGAGTGAATGAATTTCATAAAAACTTACTAAAAGCAATATGATTATATGCTGGTAGCATTGAAAATGGGAATTGATTGGTGTGAAGTGGCTGTTGGTGATAGAGTGGTGGTGTAGCATAAGGATTGTTTGTGAACGGGACACCTTGATTGATATGTTTAATTTGCATAAAACAATTGTAATTTATAATAATCAACAATATTAGTCTTGCTGATTCATTAAACGGAACTTCGGGGTGATAATCTGCTATATGAAATTTTTGACACAATTACATTATGTAAACGAATTTCGACAAATAATTATTTGCTCACACCTTTCACTGAACGAACATCCAACATTCTTAGTAGTTGATAATTTGTATCATATCATTAGAATGATAAATTTTGAGTTTTTTTTTCTCGATTTTCTTGATATAGTTGAAAGAAAATTTTTGTTCCAATACATTATACCTCAAAATTATATATCTGGGAAGTTTTAAAAAAATCCTATAAAAGCTTAATTAAAAGGTGTAATTAGCGTATTCTGGCTAGATTTAAGCTAAAAAAATCAAGCGGTATTTAATTTATCAAAATTGTTCATTTGAATTTGATATGAAAGTGCATTAAATGGTCAAACTAGTGCTTCAACTAGTATTCAAATTTTAATTATTCAGAACATTTTAGAAATTAATTACTTGTTTTAATTTCCAAAGTTAAAAATGAAATTATTTTAGTAGCAAAAAAAAGTATACGATTTACCACTGGATGACGTGCAGCAATAGCCGTTATTGCATGTTCCGCGATGGCACGGGTTATTCTGAGAACATTGTGTAAATGTACATGCAATATCATTCAACGATCTTGGTGCTGACTGCGCATAATGATCTGAATTTGTGAATAAATGACACCTATATTCGCTGTTTATGTTTATATGATCGTGATAAAATCATGATAAAATTGTAATTTAATTAATCAACATTATAGGCTTCTTTTTTCAAACTATGCTGTATTTCGCACGAATTTTTTTCGAAACATTTTATATGTCTTTAGATGGATTTCAACTGACTATTATAATAAGCGGTAAGACATTAATTAGATAATTTATCTACTATGATTTGATCAGGTATAATCCTTTGTTTTTGAGAAGATGAATAGAGAGAAGTAAAAAAAAAAAAAGCACAGACAGATTATTAACATATCACTATAATCAACCAAAATATTTTAATAATTGTTAAAGCTGTAGTCTCTTCACAACTCTGTAGTCTCTTCACAACTTCCACAGGTGTTTTTAATTGGAAATTAAATTTCAAAGAAATATAATACAAAAGCTTTATTATGTTCTTTTAAATTTAAAAATTAAGAAATAAAAGAATTTTTTGTTTCATTCAATATATTAGTTGAGGGATCGGTTTCTGACACAAATATTTTCTTCCATAAAATGTACTCTTACAAACGCATTCTTCTGTAAACATATCATTATCCTTTCAAGAAATTCTCATTTCCCATTTCATTAATTTTCGAGCAATCTTCACTTTCTTCCAGGAACATTTATTAGACTCGAATATTGTTTGAATCAGATTTTCATTGATCAATTAAGTTATCTTATCTACAGGAATCACTCTTTCATCCTTATTTATACAATCATTAACAGGATAAATTTATCGATTTTTCTTTTCATATTATTTTCTAAATCATGATAAATATGTTTATCATCAATTGATTACAATTAGAATTCAAATTGTTAATCGGATTAGATATCTTACGTAAATCGGAGGTTGTTTTGAGAATAGTAACTCTCTTAACGGAGCATTTTATTCTTTCCTTTTTGCCTGTTTAAATTTTTGCTTTTATTTATCCGCTTCTAGAGTTTCCTTTCATTTTATTAAACTTTCTTCAAATTTAAATTTCTATTCTCACTCTTGTCTTCCTGCTCAATCCTGATTTGTTGTATTTCAAAACAAATAGTAATTGATTGAAACAATTGATCGGGAAACAATGAGTGGACTTTGTTGTATATTTATAAGCTTAATGTCCATTTCTTGCAAAAAGTACTTCAATGTTTTGCTTCGCTTTTATTTCATTCTTCACCGATCTCATTGGCTTCTCATTTCGTTTACCGAAAAGCTTTCTTTTTGCTAACAAAATTCCTGTCGTGATGAACAGATTCGACATATTTGCGCTTATTCTTTCATCAATTTCCATTTGAATTGACAAAATAAAATTCATTAAAAACCAGTCGGTTTTTTATTTTTCATCAAATTGTTCAAATAGCGATTTCGAGAATGTGAAGAAGTAATTGTTATTGGTCGAATACATTACAACATCGAATGTTGTCTGGGAAATTTCCAGAATAATGAATTTCTGCTACAGGTATGCTTCTTCATCAGTAATCATTAAAAAATGAGTGATTACTCGAGATGATAAATCAGAAAAGGAAGAGATCAATAATGCATTATCCATTGAGATATTATTTCATTCTAACCCTGCCATCGTTTGTCTAAACATATCGATGCATTTTCAGAGACTGGCTGGTAATAATTTCCATGAATTAGAATTTAAGTTCCAACAAGTTCTAAATATCTGACTTCCCCTTACAATTCGAAAGGATTTAAACCTAAGCGCAATAAATACTAAGGGATATACTTTGAGAACTTACTGCTGAGGTAATTAGCATTATGCAACCTGGGAAGATAATTCTTAAAATGATACCTTTATTTTTGACAATATTAATATACATTTAAAATGTTTAACGACAAAAGTTACAACCTTCCACTAACAAACTAATTAGCGAAGGGATTAAAATAATTATTTGAAAATTTGATTCCATTCATTTGTCTTTTTTGTATTTGCTTGTGAATGTTTAGGAGAAGAGATGTTGTGTTGGAATCTCGGGGAAATCTTATGTATAAATCTGATAATAGCTTTCAGTCATGTGCTTGTTTGTTTTTTAAAAAAATTTTAATTAATTTATATTTTTTTAAAAATGCTCAATAATTAGAACAATGAGAGAAAATAGGGAGAGAGAGAGAGAGAGAAAGAGAGATTCCAGACTACTATAAAGCTTCTGTAATTTTTAGAGCATTGATATGTTGATAAGAGAAGATGCTAATTTTGGTGATTAAATGAAAATGATAATGATAATTACTAAGTATCATTTTCTGATGAATTTGATAAAATTGAAAAAAAAATGACAAAATTAATAAATATGCATAAATTTGGATGAATTATCGCATGCATAACAAAAATTGCCGACTTTATATAAACTTACGTGTTCCAAGACGAGTTTGCTTGAATGCGCTTATGTTTGGTAGGATACAGGCCTGATGCTCAAAACTGAACATTCTTCTATCCAAACAGGATTTCTTCATCCATTGATTGGTGCTAATATTATGCATATAGTTATTATTATTATTATTATTTATTTTTAATCTGAAGTTTATTTCCGAATTTTTTTTGTAATTTTTAAGAAAATATATTGCAATTCTTTTAAATATTTTAATAATTTTTCATTAATTATGAGGTTACTTATATCTTTTTGCGTACACTTCAGCTTTTACCCTAAGTGACAGAAGCAAAATGAATTAATCAATCAGATAACAGATACAGAAATGATGAATCTTTCAGAAGGAAGGATTGAAATTGCTCACAATTAATAATTAACTAAAATTTTTGTAAGCCAAGGATGCCATTTATAATATCAACTAAATCACTTACGTTTGATCACATTGCAAATAATTTGATGACATTTGTCCCTGTTCCTGTTGTAGGCATATCGATGACACCGAGCACGGATCGCCATCTTTTACATTTTTATCTTCCACTGAAGAATAAAATTATTGACAAAATCATTGTTGTAAAAATTCAAAAACAATGAAAGCGGTACTCTACCATATTACATTCCTTCATTAATTTAGCCTATTTAGCCTCATTAATTCTATAATTATAGCCATATAATTTATAAACAACTGCAAAAAAAAATTAGCATTGAAGGTTTTTTTCAAAAATTGAATATTTCAAAGCGCTAAAAATAAATTCTAAATTTCTTTTACCACAAATAATATTGTGTGATTTAGGGGACTGTTGCGATTGTTGCTTATTATCGATTGATGATAGTACAGTGGCTACAGCTGCTGGAGAACTTGTTTGAGGTGTTGTTGATAAAATACGACTTTTCACTACCCAAACTCCTTTATCGCTTTCTGATCTAAATTGATTTTACTTATTTTCCGTTAATTAAATTAAAAAAGGAACAATGTTAACTTCCATTATTCATTATATTAAACGAATTTATTATATTTGTTGAATTTTATTAAAATTTGATTGCATTTTTTTTTTTGCTGAAATTAATTAATTAATTAAAATGTTATTAAAATTTTTGGAAATCTATTATATCTAATTGTATTAGAAATATAATAAAACTGAATGCATAGAATAACTTCTTTAAGAGATATTATCACTATTCATTGTTAATTTCGAAGGTACGATTATCCAATTTGATTGATAATTGCTATTAAGCTAATCCATTAGCTTTTCATGCAGAAATTGGCTCTTAAGATTGTCTTAAGATTTCAGATTGTAACTTCTAATTTCAAATAATTACTGAATCTATTTCATTACTAATAATAAAATTACTTACTGTAAGCTTTGCTCACATTTCAAAAAGAATTGTGTTTCTTTTCCACCAATTGGTACTTCCGGACTGTTAATATCGCATTTACCACCGATAATTGGAGTTAATTGTTGTGTATAAAACACATCGAATAGGTCGATAATGATAAGAATTAGAAGGAAAAAATAAACCGAGCCGGATCCCATTGTTAACCGTTTCAGATAGATTGGCAAAATGAGACAGTAGCTTTGTATAAATGCTAACCACACTTTCAATCAACACAGCACTACCGTTCCGTCCAAAATCACTTTTTGGTCAAGTATTTGTAGGCAACTGTCCGATTATCTCGATTGACCAATTGGTAAACTTGTTTGTACTAAACTCGTCGTGAACCGAAAATGCAAACAGGTCTGCTCGATTCTGTTTACCGACAACTTATCCATCCTCCTGACCATACCTGCACGATGGTATCTTTTCCTCCCCAAATTTCTTCAAATAATATTAATATCACTCCGATTCAACAATCTTATCCATCTCAACTCCTTCGTCTCTATCCTTTCCAAAATCTCTTTGTCAAATATTACTCTCATATCGTGTTTCATCCCTCGGTACAACTGTCATTTTTGTGAACCACAGAATCACATTTTACTTTACCGATATATTTACCTATTATTACAAGGTTACTTTAACTCTTTTCCGCTATCAAATTGAACTTCTCACAAGTAAGCATAAGTTGAAACTTCAGAAAAAGAAGACTTATTGACCTCATCCAAATCTTTTTCTCATTCAACCTACATTTCTCGTCTACTCATATTGTCTTTTCAAAATTTCTTCCTCTCTTTGCATTTCATTTATCAGATGCATTTGGCAATTCTTTTGAAATAGTTCCTAAAGCACTTCTATCAATTATTTTTTTGAGATAGCAAAAATGATAAAGCAAACGAATGGAAAGTATTGGAAAGATTTTGTTATTTATTGATAGATAAAAGTGATCACAAAGATCATTGGCTTCATATCATTAAAAAGATAAAATATCTTTACATAGCTATCATACCTTATTAGAATTATCAATTTTATCAACACTTTTTTATTTTTTCACAAAATATTCCGAGAGATTAATTTTTCTGATGAATTAATATTTACCGAAATATTGCATGTGATTTAACATATGATTTAATTCATTACTGAACACTTCCGGCTATTCAGAGAGATTACAATAGTCTTCTCATATTTCTGATTCTGCCACAAATGGAGGAAAATCCTCTTTCGTCAAAAATTTACAATTCGAACCAAATAACGGACATATCATAATAACTCCTTGAAATGATTCCCAATTTTTGTTGTCATTTATTCCTACAAGATTAATTCGAGACACTTACTGCCAAACTGTTCCATTACAGTTTACCAACGCAGATGAATTCTATGAATAAATAAATAAATAAATAAATACTATCTGTGAAACAAAGTAATACGACAATTTATATGGATTCTTAAAACATATCAAAACATCCCATAACTTCCTGTTCAAGCAACGAAGAGTGAATGAACTGAAAGATCTGGAAGATATAATTATTGTAGCACAGAAAACATATATTACATTGCTTTTGTATTGGTTAAAGAGTTCAAAGAATTGTTACAAAATATGTTTGAATCGAAATAAAATAAAATAATTATGCTTTGCCTGCTTATTCTAAGAATGAAAGATTTATTTCATGTTGTATTAATGATTAATTATAAATAATATTATTCACGAAGGTAAGATAAATCATTTTTATATACTTTGATGGTTATGGCTTGTGGATAATTTGTTTTTCTGCTTTTTGTGTAATAATAATTTGTTGATCTGTTTTCTTGAAATTTTAAAGTCAACAACGGATTTGATGGAAATTTTAAATTTAATAATAAAATACTTGTACATCGAACTTCAATCTTTCCCGATCGACTACATCATGCACCAGAATAAGTGATCTGATAAACGTATCTACTATAATCAGAAGTAGGAAAACTTGTGAAACTGATTCCTATGAGTTTCAATTGAGCTACCAATCAAAAGTTTGAAATGGAAAATATTTGAATATTTGAATAACAGAATTTTGCATGTCCAAATAAATTCTTCAGCAGTAGTCGCAATGAACAAACTTATTTCTCCTTTATTAATTATTTATCAAATGATTAGCTTTGGAATAATTAGCATGAATGATAAATATTTAAAATTAGTTAAACTGAACAGCTTAATTTTGTTGAACATGTATACCAAAAATATTTTCTATTCATCGAATAACTGAAAAGTTCAAATTTTGCTACAAAATCCACTATAGGCGTAATTTCTGAAATTATATTACAAAAAAAACATTTCATCTTAAATTTGCTAATTATCGTAAACGTGCTAATTTTGATTTGAATAATTTTTTAGGTTAATAACATTCCCTTTTCATTAACTATGAAAATTTAACTTTTTCATTAACTACGAAAATTTAACTTTTTCAACCTTTTTCATTTTCTCTGACCAACCTTTTTTCAACCCTTTTCATCTTTCCTATTTATAATAATATTGAAATAATTATGGCAATTTTGTCCAAGAAACCATTTATCAGTGTGTTTTCGATATTTTGAATCAAATTTATCTCATCGTATTGCCATTCTTTTTCTTTGATGAAAGTATTTCCGATAAATAAGCGACAAAGGCGTATTTTATTGTTTTATACATTATTACTAATCGATTGTAATTTATCTGAAAGATGATCGTAAAGCTTATTTGAAGTGAATTATGGCATAACATTTCAGGTCTCTTTATGTTTTTTTGGAGTTTAAGTAGAAAATTTGCGTTAGCTTCGTTAAGCTTTGAAAGGATATGAAAGGATGAATAACAGTGATTGATAAATGAATGATAATATCGATCATGTATTGATTGATTTCCCTCTAATCTTCTACAAAATGCTTTATAAATCGAATAGATTGGTGAAGCTGAAAGAATGTTTCGCATTTGATAAAGTAAAAAGAATGATAATTTAATAAAATTCGATCTGGAATGAACTAACACATTTGCATGTGAATAGAATATCTATTTACTTCTTTTGTTTTGTTGTTTCAATATTATTAAATCACCAAAATTAAAAGGCTCTTGATATTTCTTGGGGTTAAAGGTTTTCGAAGAAGGTCATAAAACTAAGCAAAAATAAGCGAATTATTAATGATGAGTTTGTAAAAAATTGTAATGGTGAAGATATGGCATAATATTTTATGATATCATTTCCTTATTATCTGTCATATAATTCCTGATATTGGGAGAGATTTCAGAAAATAGAACATAAAATATTGGGAGAAGTTTTAGGTCAAATAAATCATAGCAAAGGTATTTTCTTTTTTCTTTAAAAAATTGCATATGATTTTTATAATTTTCATGGGAGTACAGCGATATTTTTCAGATTTTTTTAATGTATCGCAGTTATACCAACGAAATTTGATGGAAATTAATTAATTTGTTTGAATTGTTTTTAACTTTTACAGTGATTAGTTTAAATAGAAAACATATAATCGTATAAATTTTGATTAATTAATTAATGATATGATTTTTTTCAAAAATGGCCAGAGATTTTAATTCATATTTCAGAGCTTCGATAAAAAATTGAAATTTCTATTTCTACTTTCTTTAGCCAATCAAATTTGCATTTGTGAAATGAAATAGCGAAAGGACGGCGTACGGTAGGAAAATGAATCAAACTGAAAGAATAGAAATTTTGAAAATTTTCATTGCCATATTTCAGCTGTAAACTTTATCATATTAATTAATAATTTCTAATATGAAAAGTTCCTTGTTAAATTTACACGTAGCCAACGTTGAGATTATTCTTTTTAAAGAATAGCTTCTATAGAAGTTAATTGGAATTCTTAGAATTATTCTCGAATTGTTCTTTCTTCTTGTAAGGATGGAAAAATGTAGTAATTTTCATTTTACGATGATTTTATCTTAAAAATTATTATATTGTCTGAAAAGAATTAAATTCATTGCATTATTTGTCCACTTTTCTTTTGAAGAAATTACTATTTCACAACAGAAATATTAGGATGACATCTTATTAATGATGANTTTACGATGAATTTTATCTTAAAAATTATTATATTGTCTGAAAAGAATTAAATTCATTGCATTATTTGTCCACTTTTCTTTTGAAGAAATTACTATTTCACAACAGAAATATTAGGATGACATCTTATTAATGATGACAATTCTGTAATAATTACAGATCTTTCGAAATAATTTTATCAGTGACCGAAACCCTCTTCAAATAGTCTATTTTCTCGTATTCATATGAATCGAACTTTTTGTATAGAAGAAGGTTAAATCTTTATATTTATTATATATTCTGAATTCTCAATATGAAACTTACCGATGTTATAATTGTTTATTCTATATCCATATTTAGTAATTTCTCAAACAGATATTCCATCGATGTGAACGATAAGAGAAAAGAATGTAATTAGAGATATTATAAGAATAGATGTATTGATGAGAAAAAAACAGGTACAATCTTTACAACTTGCAATGTTCGTTGGTTTATGTTATAAACCTTTTTTGTTTAACTCATTTCATTCTCATTTTGAAGTAACGAACTTCAACTGCGAAAATGTCTTTTCATTGTTTTCACTTTTATATATTTAATTTTTATATCCTTCAAGTTCGGGTATTACTTACTATCTCTAAATCATTANTTTGTTTAACTCATTTCATTCTCATTTTGAAGTAACGAACTTCAACTGCGAAAATGTCTTTTCATTGTTTTCACTTTTATATATTTAATTTTTATATCCTTCAAGTTCGGGTATTACTTACTATCTCTAAATCATTAATCTATTTAGTAAAAGAAATCCTATAACTATGTATCATCGCGATTTCTTTCAGAGATACGATTATAGTTATTTTGTGAAGTGATTTGAAATAGTGAAAAATTTTAATGATATTAATATATATCGCATTTAGCTTGTAAAACTATGCAAGAAATAAATGACTTCGAAATGAATGAAATAAAAATGTCACCGATACCTGAAATATTGCAAAGACCTATTGGCTATGAACGTCAATTAGTTGTTAAATTGACTCAAAAGAGTCATATGGACTCTCCAGGTGTGTTTGCTTTACTTGTAATACTTTTGTTTGCAATCTTTATCTTATATGAAGCACTATTTATGATTGATTAAATTATAGGACCATCTTTTATGAAACACACTGAAAGATTAGCAATAGAAACATTGTTAATCGAACCGGATTCTTGGACACTATGGTCCGATGATAAAATAGAAAAAGCAGTGGTCCAAGCATTTAGTTTCAAGAAAGCAGGTATTGATTATTTATAATAACAATTTGTCTAGAACTTATGATTTCGCTTTTTTATCTATAATTGATTTAATTTGCAGGACCTTCACTATCTTTTGCGAGTCATACTGAAAGATCAGCAGCATCGGTTACACCATTAACTAATCCAAATCCTTCGACATCATCCTTGGATGATCAAATGGAATTAGGAGTGGTCACAATATCCAGTTATACACAAACTTTGAAATCTATTGCTCTGACAATGAATCTTGGACCAGCAGGTATTAAATATTCATAATAAATTTTTTTAGAACTTAGGATTCTGCTTTCTATTTTACAGTGAAAATCAAATTGAAACGTAGTGATCAATTTCAAGTCTCACAGTTTTTTTCAGATCTTGCATCTATCAATGCATCAGCTTCCGGAGGACATGATAGGATTCCATCAAAATCAACTCTTCAAACTGTTATTTCAGCAGCAGAAACTGCGCTAACTAAGTCTTCTACAGGGAGTGAAAATCAAAAAAAATGTAAACTGCCTGAAGTTGCTTCTTTATCACCAACATCTATAAATCCGACAGTAGCAGAAGTGGGGAAGAGTAAGCTAAATAGGTAGAAATATATATTTTTTGTATTTTAATGCAGTTTTACAACTTAGATGTGAATTCCAAATTGAAAGTGGATATTTGTTCGATTATCAGAATAATAAAATAATTTTAGGAAGAAATTCGTTTGGAATCCGAATGCGCCGCCATTTATATCGCGTAATCTAATCAATAATGACAATATTAATTTAAACTGTAATCGAAAAATCAAATCGCAGAATTATTTTTCAATAATGAATGGTATTCGAACCAGCGATGCACCATTACCATTTTTGTCTGCACCCACCGGACTACCGATACAAATTAGACGTTTGGGTGCCGTCGATGTAATAACTTTGTCTATGCAGGTGAACATTTTTTACTTTGTTTCAGACTGTTTATTTGATTGTAAAAAACAAGAAGGTTCAAATGAATTACTTCTAACAAAGTCCATCGATTTTTATGGCAGGAGCAGAATTTCTCTGTACTTAAATAAACAGCTCAGAGATTAAGTGACCGCTATATTTGACCGCTGTTTAGTTTAAGTAACAATAAGAAAAATTAGCAGCGTATGACAGATTGACTAATTTGTCATGTTTTAGAGTTTGCCATCAATTGTGCATACTGCATCATCACAAATTATTAATCCATTTGCGCAGGGAGATGGAGATCGTGCTACCACTGCCATACCGATTCAACAAGTAAATTTTGTTATATGCTGAAAGTCTCAATGATTTATAACTTAAAGGATTCTCTTAAAAAGACCATAGTTGTTCAAAGTAAAAAAATTATGACACGTTTTAAGATAACTTGCTTTTTACCTCAGTACGGATATATCTTATGCGTAAAATATTCCAGACTACGTCAACGGCAGCCACAACAAGTCGTCTAAATGCGATGGATGGACATGATACTTCGATGCTCACCTATTATAAAACGTCGGTTGCACAGGTAAGACTTTCTAGACACAATAATGAATTATATTAATATTTATGGAAATTTACAACATCCGTACATTGCTCGGATTCTTTGCCATATTATATTTTTCGATTTTGGAAGAATTTCTAGACTATGCCACGTGCTTTAGCAGCAAAGGCAACTGGCTCGAGCGGCTGCATAACACAGACGGGTGGCGTAGGGATGTCGATTTATTATCAACCACCGGTATGACCTTCAGCTATTTTAGATAAAGTTTGCTTTAATTATTGGAAATTTGTAAGTCTGAACTATTCTTCGCCAGTTATACGCCATATTCTTCATTTTTGTTTTAATTATTTAGTGATTTAATTTTAAGAATAAAATAATAGCAAATATAGCAACATTATAAAAACCATTAGTTATGCCTGAACAAAAAATTGGTGTTTTATTTGTTGTAGTACTATTCGATCGCTAAATATAACCGACAAACGTTAGAGTTGGTCCATGATCAACAACCAGTTGTACTTCCATCTGTCGCAGCATCAGCGGTAAATGCTTCACCTTCACGAGATTGTCAAACTCATGCGCAGGTAGGAATTTTATCTCATTTTTTGCGATAATCTCACCTTTATTGTAATTTCAATTTTAAAAAAAAAAATTTGCTCTTCATGAATTCTGTGCTAGCTATCAACATGGTCCCTTTGGAATGATTGGTGGTATAATGGATCAACAAATTGGCTATCACACAAGAAAAATGCTTATCCGCCTCGTTAAGCATAATTTTCGATTGTGACAATTAACTTCTTCTCCAGCAATCCGAATTATTTTTAATCTCTTTTTTTCAATTATAGAAAGCGACAGTAGTGATTACAATATCTGAACTTTTGTAAATAATCAATTGTTGCAATCTTCGATTTATGTTTCCATTTTATTGTTGTTTAATTTTTAATGTCTATTGGTGTGTGCTCAATTTTCATGCATAATTTATTATATTGCTTATTGTTTGGTTGAAATATGCTGTGCGTGTAAATGGAAATTCCTGCTCTGACATAGTAGAAATAATCAAAATAACAAACATATAGGAAAAAGTGTTCAAAATTTCAATGTTGTCTGATTAAATTACATATGAACTCACTTTTTTACAACTATGTCTTCGCCATTCCTTCACACTTCCATGTATTAACCACATTGCACTCATTTTTTCCACAAATTTTCATTTTGGACATTCAACACAAACATTGAATCAATGAATCTTACATTCTTTTCGTTAGACTATTTCTCCGTTACAAAGCTATCTGAACTGCACTTCTTGGTTTTCATATTAATATGAATAAACCAAATATGGAATTTTCTCCTTTCCGTATTTGGTATAACCTAACCTACACGGATTATCAGTAATTCTTGAATAGATTAACGAAAATGGAGACGAAAGATGAGCTTCGTCGTCTAAATCATCTTCTCTAGCTTAAGCATCCTTTAATATAAAATTTTCTTTTGTCTGAATAACTGACAATAGTCTTATCAATAATGAAACAAATGAAATTAAACTTTAAACAGGAGGACAGTAAATAAGCATTATGTGAGATATTCAAATGAATAATAACGAATTACTAGGATTGAATGCTAATACAAAAAAGAGAATGAATATTCCAACAAAGAAGTACCGTAAATATGAGTTCTATTCACGAATTCATGTTTCAATGTATACAAAAGCTTTGTCAGAGAAATTTATTGAATATAGAATTTCATCAAAAATAAAACTGGCCTTTTTAATAATTTCTGCTTCAAAAAAACGGATTGGGATCATTTCTTTTTATTTGCCGCATATAAGACTTCTAAACTTTATTGAGATAATCGTGTCATATTCTTCCGGAAATTATCATAAATCTCTAAAACGAATTTCAGTTGAATTTCTTCCACCTTCATTTCTTGTGGAACCATTGGCTTAATCGCTTATGTAGAGCAAAAGACCTATCCTTAAAAAATCATTTCATGAATATGCAGCTTACTTATAGCTTATTATCAACGTAGTTGTCAGTGGTTTTATGCCATAAAAATTCTTCACTCAAATCATGACTTCTTATAGACTAAGGCTACTCACTTTCTCCTTGCCTCTTTTCAACTAGACGAAGGGTTTGCTTATTGTCATATCTGCAATTTGAAGACAGGCAATGATTCCTAAAGAATCAATAATTGATCTATTCTCCTTTCTGCAAGGAAATTCCTCTTTTCTTTGGTTCAATAACTACCGGTTAAATCCTAGATTAGCAGACCAATTTGGCCATTTTACAAAACAGGTAGCAAGACTAAAATGATTTCTTTACTTATCATAACGCTTTTTCGAATTTAAGAGCATTAGTGTTTGAAACAGCTTTTCTCTTTATCCAGAGGAATTGCCAAAATTGGAATGATATATGCAGTTTTGCAATTAGTAGAGAGGATGTAGACTGAAATTAACCCTACTGATCAATGGTTGATTCTTGGCTTACTACACTTTCATCCTAGTGATTACATTGGAAAGTTAACAGTTACAAAAGCCGATGTCAGCAAAGAACGCGCGCTTGAGAAGCCATCCAGCAATTGTTGTGACACTTTTCGGCATGTTTTATGTTGTAATGTCATTGCAAGGACAAATGACATCATATTATTGGTTAACGAATCAGAGCGACAGCAAAAAGTTGACAGTTAGGTATACACAAAAACGACAAAACATTTCTTTACGTCACTGTGCGTAGTATATTTATTCGTATTTAATAATTTCAATACCGCCACTACCGGAACAAACGCACTAAATGTATTGGCCTTTCGATTTTAATTGGAGCATTTTGCTTGGAGTAAGACTTATATTACGAGCACTGGAAAAACTGTGCTAGAATTTGCTTTTAGGTTAGGTCTTACTTCAACGAAACTAGGACAGACCATGGCGTATGCCAATGAATACAGTGGAAAGAACATGAAGAGAAATGCGAGTCATCAAGTGAATCAATTTTCCAGGCTGAAAAGGAGTCTCGGCCTTCCGTATCCAAAGCCTTTTCGATATGACCGACTCTCTTGACCCATCATACTCCCCATACCGCTAAAACCACACAGTAAGAAACCATCTGGTAGTGTCCTTCTGAGTGACTTTGACAGTACTTGTGAAATTCGCGGCACATTAGATTATTTGCGTAAGGGGCGTATATCTTGGCTGTCACACTTGAGTCATTGTATGGTATGGGTGGTAGATATTACTTTTGTGATTCACATCTGAAAGATTTATTGAAGGATGTACTTGTCTATATCAGTTGAATCATTGCTGTTGAAAATTATTGCAGGCGTTATGATGCAAGCCAAAAAAGCCGGTTCTGGTTTCCGATCTGACCCGCGTCTTTTGCCCCGCATCCGTGACGTGAGTTTTAAAGTTTTAAAGCATTATGTTATTTATTGCGTATTATGTCACCTCGTCATAAAAAGTACGCTTAACGATGTATGAGACTTTACAGGTTTGGCAAGCGAATGTAGAATATGACGCAGAAGATATCGTCCATCATCTTCAGCAAACTTATCCGTTGGTTTATTTTAGTCTTGCTTTCTCTGAATCTCAACTATCTGTTTTCACAATCTCTCTGTTGTCGTGAATATTCCAATTTAATTTAGAGAATATACCCGACGGAAATTTCGTGATTTCTTGAAATTGGTAGAAATTGGGCTTGGAAAGATAAAGAATGCTAACGTAGTCGACCTGACAAACGAATCTAATGACATATCAACAGTTGTGGAACGAAAGCGGAAGCTAGTGTTGGGAACTCAAATTTTTATTTTAACATGCTGATTTGCTAAAAATAATCAGTAAATTTTATCTACTGGAGATCTTTTGTCATTTGCCATGATAGATATTTTCCAGAAGAGTGGAGATAAGGAAGGGATCAATAGCAAATTCTTGGTTTGTTTACTTAATTGTTTGATAGATTTTAGGATGAAAACTGCGAAGAGGCTTAGTCCTGTTTACGATAAACCAGAAGCTGATGTAAGGATTTTTAATTCCATTTTATAACTTGTTTATCGTTTTCTTTTTTTGACCATTTAAAAGTTTGTCTAATTTCTTGTTTTTATAGTTGAAAAAGCCTCGAAAATCATATTCATCGTTTGGATCATTGTATAAAACGGATATTAACGTAGAGCCCAGTGTATCACACGTTACGTTTTCAGATATTGGTGGTTGTGAGCAACAATTTTTGGTAAGATTTGTTTGAATATTGCGGTGGAATTATGATTGCTTTGATTAGTACTATATTTCATGACTCGCAATTTCCATTTCATCAGAATAGTTGAACTGACATTTCTGTTCCTAGGAAGTTTGTCGTTTCGTCATGCATCTTTTACATCCGGAAATCGATGATCTCTTTGGAGTTACTCATCCTACTGGCTTTTTGCTTCATGGCCCTCCTGGATGCGGAAAAACATTGTTTGCTCAGGCTATTGCAGGGGTTAGTACTTCAGAAGTATTTTAGATTTTACTTTTACTTTTTTTAAAGTCATAAACCAATTGCTGGCTCTTGAACATCATAGAGGTGTTATTCACCTTTTGTTTCTTAAAGTTTCCTATTTTCCAGGAATTCCAGCTACCAATTTTGAAAGTGGCAGTGACAGAATTAGTTTCTGGAGTATCCGGTGAAACCGAGCAAAAAATACGGTTATTATTCAACAAAGCGATCGAAGAGTCACCATGTGTTTTACTTTTAGATGATATCGATGCCATTGCCTCAAAACGGGATAATGCACAACGTGAAATGGAGAGGCGTATTGTGTCACAGCTTGTTGCTTGTCTTGACGGTAAATAACGGTGTTATAAAGCTCAGTGTTTGTTTCCGTGAACTCTTTGTCTATAATGATTTTGTTTCAAAGTGAAGTATTTTAGATTTGTCAAATTCGATAAAAGATGTTGACGTGAACGCAGACGACACAAATGTAGATATTTCAATCAGAAAAGTACGTAAAGGAAACCTGGTCCTGGTAATAGGTAACTGTTCAACTTCTAAGTCCTGTAGTAGTTCTGCTGTAGACGCCAAACTTTATCATGAATTGATCCCATCATGTATTTCAATTGTAGGTACCACAAGCAGAGTGGAAACTATGGATCCAGCTCTACGAAGAGCTGGTCGTTTTGACAAAGAAATAGCGTTGGGAATCCCAAATAAACGCGCTAGGTCGAAAATATTGAAAATTGTGTGCAAGTATTCATCTTTTTCTTTTATTTTTCATTATGTTAGGATCGTGTTTGTTGCCATGAACGGCTTGAATTTTGTGTTTTTTCATTTTAGTGTTTTTGAGCCCTCAATTTTATTTCATCTTTCAGAGGCCTTCGGCTAGATGAAAGAGTAGTACTACAGGAACTGGCGCGCCTGACTCCCGGCTATGTTGGAGCTGATCTTAAAGCTCTATCCAGGGAAGCAGCATCATGTGCAGTGAATAGAGCAATAAATGGGTATATTATTAGACAAGATATTTAATATTTTTCTTGGTTCTCAGTTAGGATTTGCATTTCTAAAAAATGAAAACTATATAAATCATTTTTATTTATCTACCATGCTCTTCAAGGATATTCGAAACAACGGATGAACGTAAATATGGGGAGAAAAAAATTGAACAAATCGAGTTAGAATTGCAAAAAAGTATGACTTGTTTTTTTAATTTTTTGAAAAGTCTTGAATTTCAAGTTTCTAACAATAATTTATAAAATTTGACCTGAATTCTCCTCTAGGATGCTACAGTACTAAGAATTAATAGTATCGTTTTGATACTATCTAATAATTGTAAAGCACGTGTATTATATTTCTCTGATGAATGCTAATTAGAAATTAAAAATTAGAGAAGCTGTTAGTTGCTGATGTAAATAATAATTGGTCGGTATGCTTTAGCACATCTATCCGAGTAAAATTGAATTCTTTCTCTTAAGTGCTTAAATTTCGTGTGGTTTTTGGCTTTAATAGTTAAATTTGATTTGATTTAGATTTCGAAATCACAAATTATTTCAGTGCTTACTTGGCTGAAGTCATCAAAGCAATTGAATGAGACTGATTTGCTGAAAATTCATGTAACCATGGAAGATTTCAACAAAGCATTGACTCTAGTGGTTCCATCGGCCAAACGTGAAGGATTCGCCACTATTCCAGATATCACATGGAATGATATTGGTGCGCTTGAAAGCGTTCGTGAAGAACTTAAATGGAGCATACTGGTATGTGAATACTTGTAACAATGTACTACTATAGTATTGAAGTATACTGGTATATGAATAGTTCGGACAGTTATTATTCTTCATTTCATCATCGTTGTACGAGTTGCACTTCTTTGACTTAGGAGAAATTCGGTATGTTTCAGAAATTAGTAGTCACAATGTCTCAGAATGGTTTTGGTCTACTTTCTGGTTACTTGGAATCAAGCAATTAGTTGATTAAATTATTAACTCATTAAATTATAAAAAGAAGTTTTATAGGTTCCTATAAAACAACCTGAACTCTTCGATGAATTTGGAATAGAAAGCAGGCCTCAAGGAATATTGCTATGTGGACCACCAGGTTGTGGTAAAACATTATTGGCGAAAGCTGTTGCTAATGAAAGTGGCATGAATTTTATCAGCATCAAAGGCCCTGAATTGCTAAGCATGGTATCTGCTCAATTCATTTTTACATCACAATAGGCATTATCCTGATAATATTGGCTTCATGCTACTTTTTATTAAGTCAGTTATATAAACGAATTAAGTTAAATTTATCTTCGAATCGTTATGCAGTATGTTGGAGAAAGTGAAAGAGCAGTGCGTACCGTTTTTCAAAGGGCCAGAGATTCTTCACCATGTGTTATTTTCTTCGACGAAATTGATGCATTGTGTCCAAAGCGAATGAGCAGTGAGGTACGATACTTCCTTCTTTGACGAATTTTTCTTTCCCTTTCAAGCAATTCAATTCAAATCTAATTTGACTTTTTAGAGTATTATATTCTTAATGCAATAGTGAAAATTGATGTTTCTGCATTTGTCGACCTCCTGATGGTGGTAATGTTTTTTTTTGAAGATGAGTGGCAGTTCAAGGTTGGTAAATCAACTGCTCACGGAGATGGATGGTATAGAAAGCCGAAAAGAAGTATTTTTGATAGGAGCAACGAATCGTCCAGGTATACTCTTATCATTTTACTATTGTATGTTATCTCAAAATCGGATTAGACAGGGCGCAGTGGCGGTAATGTACGTAATATTGAGATACAAGAGAGTTCCTTGGATTTGCAAACGAGCTGATAAAATTCTGACTGTTGTTTAACAAGCGAAAATCAAAATGAATATACCATTACCATCTTATATCTCCACCAAGTAATGAGATTTGAAATGGTGTTTTATGACGTACTTACAAAGTCATTTCAAGTCTAAATGTTCAATACAGGTAATTGTTGTATATGATTATATCTTAATAACATTAACCAATGTCTGATGCATTAACCAATCATTAACCAATCTATTATAGACATTGTTGACGGTGCTATTTTACGTCCTGGAAGATTGGATAAAATACTTTTTGTTGATTTTCCAAATACAAAAGAGAAAGAAGACATCCTTCGCAAAATAACAAATAACGGAAAACGTCCTCACTTATCGGACGATTTTTCTTACGGAGATCTTGCTGCGGACCCTGCTCTTGAGTGGTTCACGTATGTTTTAAAGTTCGACTAATTTAGGCACTATTTTATAGTTAGGAACATTCCGTTAATAGCGTGAGACTTTCGCTTTTTGATAATATTGATCTAAAGTTGCTGTTATTGTAATTTATGCTGCTAATCCAAAAATGTCTAGAAGAGAAGGAAGCATTCGACTAATTAGTAAGTAACTCTAAATATTAAAAATTCCAACATTTAAGAAATTCGTTACTTTGTTTTATGATTACAACCATAGATGTAACGAATATTATTGTGATATATTTGTGCGTATTCATTTAAATTTCAGAGGAGCAGACGTAGCAGCACTTGTGCATGAGGCGGGTATTGTAGCTATGCAAGAAAGCATATCTGGAAGCAATACAAGTGGATGTCATCGAGTGACAATGAGACATTTCCAAAATGCAGCCCTGCGAATAAGGCCGTCTGTTCAAGAAAAAGACCGAATTGTTTACCAGAAGTTAAAGAAACTGTATGGAAAATTGAAATCATAACTTGGTATTTAAATCACGCTGTTATGTTACGTTAAATGAAATCGTCGAGAAAATAAAGTGAAGTGAACCAGCTATTGAATTGTTTTCTGGTCGGTACTTATAGCTATGGTAAAGCTCTTGTAGATTTTGCAAATTTGGTTCTTATCCATTGTTCTTTTCAACATATGTTAGAATCTGGTCGCTACTGGAATTCACATTTGGCATACGACATATTTCGTGCCTTTCATCGATTATAATCATAAGAATATAGAGAGAAAAAAGCTCGAACGTGCTAACTGATTCTAGTGCTAAAAAGTTGTGAAGCATGAGCTGTAATGACATGTGAGGACCACCCTCAATTGGCGACGATATACAGCATTAGCTATCTTTTTTTTTTGTATAGTCAGGTGCTCACTGTTTGCAACACATTCCCTTCTCAAGTTTAATTTTCAGACCCTCAACTGTGCAAATAAAAAGTATTAATTTTAACAGTTATATGACGAGCGAGTGAAGGTCTCATTTCAATTATAGTGAAATTCATGTGTTGGTCCCTACTTGTTTATATGAATGGTCTATATGAATATTAATATAAATAGCTTATATGAATTTATGTGTAACAAATCGAATTTAGTAAGGTAGAAGAGAGGAATCAACTTTGAAGTATCATTAGAAGTTGGTTCCTATAAAATGCCATTGTCTATAGAGGAAATCATTGGATGAAAGGGAAAGATCCTAAACTTCCCTCTTTCCACTTTTTTTTTAAATTTCATATAAATTGTCTTCTTATGAAATATTTAGTATAAGATTTTTTTTAAAAAACGTTGTCTTTGCTTACAGTAATACTGTGTTTTTACATTCAAACATTCATTTCGAAAGATCAAATTTTCGTCACTGTTTTAATGTTTATTTTGAAGGTTCACAATTGAAGTTCACAAGTAACTCTGCCCTTCCATCAATAACTGCGTCAAATGTATTAAGCAATACATCCATTAGTTCATCTCAATGCATTTAACAAATGTTATTTTTGCGTAGACTCATTATTATTCCTTCCCTATTACATGAATGACAGGCCAATTTGTTAGTTCCGTCGCCGTATGATGAAGCAGTTGCTGCTATTTCCTTAGGTTGTAATGTATCGGCCTGAAATTTTTATGTTCCAATGAAGAGAATTGTTTTAAAATTGGGTGGTTGTTGCTGATTGAAGAATTAGTGATGTTGAACAATTGTCATTAAAAATATTTCTAACATTTTTGCGTAAGACAATTTTTGATTTATGCATCGTTAAAAATACACTTAATAAGTATATTCGGTTAGAAATAATTAATATGTCCCGTTTCCGTTATCACTAAATGATTTGCACTGATTGGATAATTCGATTGTTCTTTATTTTCAACTTCTTGTACTCACCGGATGATTTTCAAGACCGCCACAATTTGGGTTTGTCGATGGTTTTAATCTGAAATCTATAATTAGCTTGAATTAATTTAATACTATTGGAAAACATAGCAACAGATTATTCTACCCATAATATTCCATAGTTAATAAAATGTGCCATCTCTTTAATTGATTGCTTGATTTAATGCTGGAGGTATCAGGTATTGAAGCTCTAAAAAAGATGTTCTTCTGATTAATCTAGTTACCGTATCTCATCGTATAGGTTTGACATACAGTCTGTGTCTTCATCATTTACTCAAAATTTCTAGCAAAAATATCTGGATGAAACTGAATATTGCTCAATTGCTGTCACTAAGTTCAAATCACAAATATATTATCATTGCCAAGTTTTGCAGGACATAATTTTTCCAATTTCAAGACTGATTATTGTTAAAAGAGGCTTCCTTTTTATTGCTTAATATTCCGAAGAGAAAAGTTTATTATATAATAATGCAACTGATCGAATTCTTTATTACATAATAATTCAGCTGATCGAATTCTTTATTACATAATAATGCAACTGATCGAATTCTCCTTCAATTTGTTAACTAACAATTTGTAAGAATTAATTTGTTAACATAGCAATTTAACAAATCCTGAAGACATTGAATAACAGTTACTTCTGAATGTTTACAGAGTAGACAACGTTGTTGTCACACAATTCGCTAGTTAGCGACATCATTGCAAATTCTAACACTATGATGGCAACTAATCTTGAATATTAAGCAGATAACAACAAAAAAAGTTGGTACCATACGAATGACAGTAAAAGCATTTGGTAGAAAAAAGTGACGAAGATGATGAGTATGAATTTACAGACGAACAATTCATTACAAATTTTAAAGTAAATAAAATATTTTCAATATGTAGATGATGATTATTGCATGCAAATATATTATGGATAATAATACTTGAAAAAATGAAAAAACAGAGGAATTCTCATAATTCAATATAATGGTACTCTATTTGAGATGATATAATGACCAATTCTGATATAATTGAATAAGTATCACTGAAATTATCTCAATTGAATTTACACTGACGAAATATGACGAAATGTAAGCTTATTGATAGCATACTGTATGTATTTCGGAAATGAGATAGAAAAAGTCAGAAGTAAACCTTATTTGTTTAAGAAGAGCACTCTTATCATTTATAATAAATGGACTACTGTAATTATATTGTGGATATTGCACTATTAAGGTGCATAATCAGAATTTTCAGATTGCAAAAAGGTACTAAAAACCATTGCAAGTAAACACTATCATCATGACTTCATTCAAGTAATTTGATGGAATTATTAGGTTTCAGAAGTATATCTTCAAGAAAATTGATAATGTGGAACAGAACGATGGAAATAGAATGGATGATGAAATTATATTTCATTAAATAAAATATCTCAGTAGTTAAAAATTTATAGAGTTTATGAAGATCAGTTGAAAAATGGAGAAGACAAGTGTTATGAGCAGTTTACTCTAGAATATAGAAAATAAGAAAGTACAAGAAAGTGATACTGTAACTAATGAAAATTGTGCGAGTGGAAGAGGTAGCGAATCTGTATGGACTGGCTTCCATATCATATGTTGATAATTCGTAATCTTTCGTTTTTAATTTTCCTAAATTGAAAATGAAATAGATCAATAAGAAAAGTAAAGCTGAAAGTTTAAGCAAATTTGCTCAAACAATCAGTGACAATATCAAGAAGATATTAGTAATTCATGTTAAAGTTTAATTTAATTTTATTTTGCATAATTTCAAAATAAACCATACCGAAATAGCACTTTTCGATACTCATACCGGATACATAACGACCCATAGAAGTATAACCTCGCGTAAGTGGTTCCTCACGAATACATAACTTCCCATATTCTGTGTCGTGTTTTAGAAAGGTGAATAATACATCGAGATCGGATGGCTCACGAAATTCAAATACTTGCGAGCCTGTCTGTGGCACGTCACCACCTTGTAATGTGGCAATCGCTCTATAATCCAAGGAATATAAGTTTTAAATTACATTTCATTGCAGAAGGAATGGCTGAAGAGAGGAAATTCTGTGAGACTCTTTTGGCTCCTTATTTTATTGATACTGGCTAATAAAAATTTCATGTACCCTATCCTTATCTTAAATTTATAAAGGATTATGAAAAGTGATAGATACATTGAAGAATGGAACTCTGAAAACAGACATATCCGTTTCTGCTAAATATCTTTCGTTAAATAAGGCTATCCTAACAAAATGATTAGTATCATTCCATTTGAATCTTTGCAGAATCTTAATGAAACTGCTCGAAATATTCTTAGCATCTTTCAATCATTCATAATATTACTAAAAATCAAAAGAAAGCCAACGATATTAATCATTCCTTAAATTGTTCCTTTTACTTTCTATTCATTAATGTTTCAGTTTTTAACGAATGATTCTTTGGAATTTTGTTAGGTTAGTTTGCAACGGCATTCAAATAATGAATTTTTCTCATCCAACATTACCTTCACTTTCATAGAAAAACATTTGAGGGAAGATATTAGTTTATCCCTATTGATAAATATTAGGAAAAAGAAGGAAAAGATTGAGAATTAACGTATGGCAGCTAGAGAACAGATTGTTAATATATTTTCTTCTGATTTCTACAAATTTCAAATTGATTCTTTTTAGTCTGTCGTTTTTATATTAATAACTTTTCATTTAATTATTATTGTAATTTAATTATTAGCTATTTTTCGAAAGCAGAAATTATTGTTAAAATTCCATTTCATAAGCTTTTTTTGTTGTCAGATTCTAAGCGAATTTCATTGTAGAAACTAATAAACTAAAGAGAGAAAACAGAAACTTCTAACAAAGAATTTTATTTTCAGTTTTTAAAATTTGAAAACTAAACTGATATTTATCTTAAATTATTATTACCTTTACATTGAAAGTTCTAACTTATTGGTAGGCATAAAATGTTAATTCAAAATACATAAAGTTATGAAGTTTAATTTATTGTAAATACAAGGTTAGGAATGCCGAATTTCCTAATTTATTATTTGATCAAAGTAGAACAATGCGAAACATTTGTCACTCAATGACATTTTTTAAAGAGATTCGACATTGATGCATTCCCTTATTATTCGCATTTTTACATTAAATTATTGAGTGATAAGAGGGAATGAAAGTGTAACGTAGGTGAAAGCTTCACCAACGATCGGCATCCTCAAGGACTGAATCACTGTCAACCATAACGATAACGATCAACCGAGTGCCTTTTGGTGACATCTCTTATGGATTAATCTGACAAATTACTGTAAGATTACTATAAATAATGAAAAAAGGCTATTAACTCATATATCTGGTTATAATGGAAAAGATAAATGGTCCGTCAGTTTCATTCGACTGATAGCAATGAAAGATAATAAATGAGACAAGTGATGGAAATGGATTGAAAGAATTGAAAATCTGTTTCTTGATATCCGGAAAGACTATTTTCAAACGGACAAACGAAAAAAGGAGACCTCATTGGAAAATTCGTGATGGAGCGAATTTTGAATTGCATTGTAGTTGCCGTAATATCGACTACCTCAACATCCTCCACTGTTGTGTCTGCATTTTTCCCAAATCGATCTAAAGTCCGCAACAATCGGCAATCCGTCCCGGTCGTTTCATTATGTCTGTTGAAATTCTCCCACTCAACGCAAACATAATACCATGATCGTTCTCGTAAATCTGATAAATATACCTAAATAATATCAGTAAGTCGATTCATTGGTAAGTCAAGTTTTAATCGAATTGATATTTTCTTCAAAATATACAAACCCATTTAGTCAGCAGCATTCATTTTGTATAAAGCAAATATAGCTTCACCTTTTCACTTTTTTACTACGATTTTTTTTGGTATTCGGCAATGTAGTAGGAATTTGTGTCTGTGATGGATCAGAACAACTAGAGCGAATGTTTAATTCATTCCCATTTCTATTTGCTTAACTATTTACATACTTTTGATATATCAAATTAACCGAGAAATTTGAAAGCGATTAAACGGATGACCTGTTTGTCCTCCCGAATGCTATCAGGATAAAAGACTTTACTAATAAGCGGTTCGTCTGATTTTAGTGGAATTGCCGAAATGAATAATGTTGGAATTTGGGTTGGTGAAAGATGAGCTTCCAGAAATGAATTCAAAAGAACGATCCGAAAGCCGTGCTTTGTCGTATCTACAAAATTTATTGCCCTGAAATGAAGCGGTAAGAGGGAAATTACTTTTTGTTTAAACATCCTTAAGTCAAAGCCTTCATTTTTCCTTTACTAATCGAAGCTGAAAAAAAGATAAGATAGATTATCTGGTATGGTCAAGAAGCTGAAAATTGTGAGAGAAAGTTTGGAAAGAACAAACCTTGCATTGATAAATATCCGCTGGTACTTTGGATTACCATAAACAGCAGCGTACAATACAGAAGAAAAAACAATGATTAATCTAAGCATGAAGAAGATCATTCCATACATTTACTTTATCAATTTCAATAGTATAAATGTTTTTTGATCGAATAACATTTTCATCGAATAGAAATTTTCAACCGAAGCATAGTAAATTAACATTGCTTAATCAATCTAGAAAAATCAAACATTTTTTTAATTACTCTAATTTACCTTTTTTTCTTAATTTAAATGAGTTGCAGTTTGTTGAAATGCAATAATCGTTGCTATTATATCATAAAATATACATGAAACTTAAAAGTTCTATCAAAAGTTCGATTTTTTTGAGTGAAACAGATTTTTCGTTCATGTGGTGAAGATAAGTGTAAAATTATAAAACTAATTGTATAGTCATTGGTAACAATCTATCCTACTGATTGATTTACGACTTGCTGGACAATGTTGTGAGAGAAATTTTCAAAATAGACTTTTGTATGTTCATAAGTCAAAGAATTCTTTTCAATAGTTTGGTTTAAGACTTTCTCTGTACGACCAACCAAAACTGAGGACATTGTCTACTTGACTTTTACAAGGTCATTTTATATGCTATGTTATTGACAGATATCCTATTAGGAAGCAAAATTTCTTAAAACTAAAGAAAAGAAGAACAGAAGAAATGAAATCTCAATTCATTTCAGTTTGTTTCATTGTCTAAAAAACCTACAAACTCTTTGTTAGTGCAAGGAACCGATAAAAATATCTGCAGGATAAGAGAGAGAGAGAGAGAGAGAGAAAGAGAGGTTTTGGATAATTTTTAATGTAAAGAAAAGCCACGAAGGCCTTTTTACCCCTTAAAACCACTTATTTTATGTGGAATGTCAAAAAGACTACGAAATTTGTTATAACTTCTCATAACTTTATCCTCTATTCCTCCTCTCATGTTAATTTCTTTCTTTTCACTTTTCAGCTAATTTTCTTCACCTTTGACCTCACCTTTATATTTGTTTGTCGAATCGTATTTATGTACTTTCTAACGATAAATCATATTAATGAAAAATTGAGATAGATATAATAAATTGAAATTTTATACGATAACAATTTTTATCTCTAAAGAAATGAAAATTTAGAAATTAAGAAGGGACTATAAAGTTCTTCCAATTCTTTACTTTTATTTATTCAATTTATAAGAAAAACTTTGCTTAATTTCATCAAATTTCACATTCTTCACTATTAGTAACTTTCATTAATTTTAATTTTGAACTTTGAGGTCATCGCCATTCTCTCTAAATTATGAATGATTTAAAATATAATTAATTTAGAGAAGAATCAATTATCGGTTATATAAAATATTTCTCTGACCACAAGATCTGAAAGATCGAAATCAAAAGCAGAAACATTGATCTTGTATCAATGAGAGTGCAGTTTTAAAGCTTTATTATAATTTTACAAATTATTTTACCAAAGGATGTTAAAAATTAGCATCTGTCATTTATACCTAATATACCTGACTTATGCTGATCCCTCTCTTTCGATTTATTTCGATAAGGTAATCAGTGCATTCATTAATATTAATTCTAATACTAAAAAAAATTTAATTGCAAAGACAAAGTTGAATTTACAAAAAATAATAAAATGAACTAAAAGTTCAATTATTAAAAATTTTTGCTGTCATTTACTCATTCCATCAGGTATGTTATGGTGGAAGAGTGAATGGAAATTAAAAATGAAGGATGTGTTAATGGAGGGCGAAGGACCCGTTTCGCATTATTGCTCAACAGGAAATTTATAAAGACAACTTAAGGAACTTTGGAAAGCACATTTAGAATGATTTCACAGCGATTATTATTTCTCAACTGATTTTACAAATGGATTTTCCCTATCACCAAATTTTGTCACGATGAGGGTTTCCTGAATTTTGAAAAATTTTCAGAATGAAAGAGAACATTTTCAACATTTTCCATGAATTAAATAACTTTAGAATGATCAATTTATAAAGAAATTTGTAAGAAAAACGAGATAAATCAGCATTCATCAGAATAGTATTATTTTATAATATGAAGATTCAGATACTATAAATTATAGACAATGAATTCTATTGGTTCTAGCTTTGGTATCAAATTTAAGTTAAGAGAAGAAGAAAGAAAGAAGACGAAATAAATAAATTAAAGCAGATCTCTCTACGGACTTATTGAAAGATCACACATCGCGCATTCTAAATCATAGAAAAATTTAGTGATGAAGATTGAATGCTGTAAGGCAGATGACTGACCAGAAGTATCATCATAATATATATTGGATTATATCCCTGCTACATTACACATTGATCATTCAGTATGTGCTCTAATTTCATTTAGCAATTTTATTCTTCAAGTATTTATGGATTATTAATAAGAAAGGTTATTTTATAGCTAACTTAATTGATGAAAATTTTTAACTTTCTTTTTCATTTGTAATTAATTTAGACAATTTTATGTTTCAACAAATGCTGTCAGTTATGATAATTTTGATTTTTTAATTTCATTATCATAGAAAATTTTAATGAATTACTTGGAATTCTCAGTGGGAAAAAACATGGAAACTTACGATTTTATGGTAAATAAAAATTAATGAAGCATTTATTGTGCTTAAGTAGTTTTGAAATAAAAGTTGCCAACAAACATACAAACATTAATACATTCTCTCTCTCCCTCTCCCTCTCTTTCTCTCTCTACTATAAAAAAAGGTGAAAGAAAAAGAGTAAAAGAATGAAATAAAAGACCGAAATAAGTTTTAAGAAAGTGGTGATTTAACAACTATTATATTATGGACTTGCAAAATAAAATCATACTATTTACTTTTTTCTCTTCATCTTTCTCCTTCCTTACTTTTCCTTTCTCTCTTTCTTCTTCATTTCTTTTCACTTTTCATATATCAAAATTAAACCTTATCAGAAGCAATAAAAACATAGCAATAAAAATTATCATCTCTTTATCATTTACTTCCCTTTCTTCACAAAAGCTCCCGTGATAACGTCATCTGTGATAATATCACTAAAAGATGCATAAAGTTGAATTTGAATAGGAAAAGGTAAGAAAATGAAGGAAATCTGTTTAGCGATAAACGGATAAAAAAATTGCAAAATGAGAAAGCTTTTGTTAGAATAGTCGCTTCAAATATTTAAATGAAATTGAGAATAGCTTAAGTCTAAGAAAGATCAATTTTAATAAAAAGAAAAATGCAACAACAACAACAACAATAATAATAACAATAACGTCAACAGCAAGTATAAGAACAAACATAGTTGCAACAACAAGAAATGATTTGTTAATTCGCTTTCATAAAACTATAATACAATTTGACAATCGTTTGATAAGAAAGAAGTAAATGAGCCATTCGTTTCCTTTCTCACTGTAACCTTTACTCTTTTTAGATTTTGAATTCATTCAATAAATCAAAACGAAAGCTTATTAGGTTTAATGGGAGGCGTAGAATAAAAGAATTCTTTCCTGTCTGAATTCCGTCCATTTCACTAAATGAACTAACAAATCTCTTCCACTCATTTCTTTCAGTTACAAAATAAGCATTTTGGATGTATAACTTTGATGAAAAAATTTTCGTAGACTGATATGAATAATTTTTATTTTATAAGAAGAAATTTATTCATACACATATATATATGTGTATATGTATATGATAATGTAATAATAGTTAATTAACAGATTTGTATTTATAATTAGATTAGAATAAAATATAATTTAATTTTAATTGAGAGGTATTTATCGTTCAGTGACAAATGTAGAATTATAAAGAAAGAAGTGGTGGCAGAAAAGAGCAAGAAAACAAAAAGAAGAAATAGTAGTGATAGCCATGAGATATATTTTGGAATTAGTGAAAAAAAGTATATTAAAATATTGAAAAATTAAATGTTAATAAAATAAGAGAAAAACTGTAAATTAAAAAAGGATTAAATTAATTGTCAATGAAATGCTTTATAAAATAGCATATTGAAATCGATAGTGATAAAACAATTAATCATTTTCAATATCAGTTTTATTCATTAAGTAAAAGTTATGCTTCTGTGAAAAACAATAAATCATATCAGTGTAAGTTGAATGATTAATAATATGACCGTGTAGTGATAAGTATTATCTTCAATTATTTTATTGCCTAACAGAAATATTTCTCATAAGAAAAATAAATTTCGAGAAGTGAGAACGGTTCAGCCTGTGCTGATAATAATATATATGAAATTTAAAGATGAATGATTGAAAGAAGAATAATTACCAGAAAATTTACTTAATCTAACAAAAGTAATTGGCACTTATTACAGTCTACTCATACAAATATTAAAGGTTTTTTGACTGAAAAGAATTAGAAGTAAGAATTAAAAAATATAAGTTTTTAAATATATAAAACTTAAATGTTGTGAAAATTTGAAATGTCTTTTAAATGGAAATAATTTGCAGCCTCCATAATAAATAATTGTAAATTGAATGATGGCGGTTAGTGATAGAAGCGTTTGTTGGAACGAAGTGAAGGTCAATTGTAAACTTTACATCGAATTTCTTTATATAAACGTATTTTGGCTGACGGATGTCTGTCAGTAATTTTTTCAACTCATTTCCTATTCGGAATTAAACGTAAATCAGTGGAAAAATCTTTCCTCCTCATCTTACATTACTATTATTTAGTATTTCTGCTACAATTTCCTCCAATGAAAAGATTCGTTCCCAAACAGATATGAATTAAATAAATATAATGTAATCATTGGTAAGAATAAAAAGTAGTCTTTAATACCGGGGTCAATCAGAAAAAAGGATGTGACAATGATGTGACAAGGTGACAGTCATCTTTCTGGAACTATTCTATATTTCAAGAATACTTTTATTCATACCATTCTTACAGAAGCGAACTTTTCTGTTAATCTCTTGTTAATTACTGATTTTATAAATTTGAGTTTAAAGTGTCCTAAACTTTGTTAAAGGAATATGTGTAGTTAGACGGAAGCCAAAAACGTAATAAATTTATTAATTAATCCTATCATGTGTATGCTACAATGCATTATACATACAAATAGATAAAGTCCATCGCTCTTAATTAAATCTGATACA